TCGCCGACGCGAGCGCGCCAAACCACTTTTACTTTATGGAGATGAACACGCGGCTGCAGGTCGAGCACCCCGTGACGGAGATGATCACCGGCGTCGACGCGGTCGAGCTGGCAGCTCCGAGCTCCGTGCCATCTCCCCTGAGCCCCCGCCCCCGGCCGCGGCTTGGTCTCCCGCGTAGGCCTCGACTTGGTCGAGTGGCAGCTGCGCGTCGCCGCCGGCGAGCCTCTCCCCCTCTCGCAGCCCGAGCTCTCCCTGTCGGGCCACTCGATCGAGGCGCGCATCTACGCCGAGCGCCCCGCCTCCAACTTCTTCCCCGCCTCGGGCACGCTGCGCCACCTGGCGACGCCGCCCGAGGAGGGCGTCACCGTCGCGCCCGCCGAGGTGCGGCGAGAGGACCCGAGAGGACCCGAGAGGACCCGAGAGGACCCGAGAGGGCCCGAGAGTACCCGAGAGGACCCGAGAGGGCCCGAGAGGGCCCGAGAGGACCCGAGAGGACCCGAGAGGGCCCGAGAGCACCCGAGAGGGCCCGAGAGAGGTGCGGCGCATGCGCAGACGGCGTCGCGGCGCGCGCCGAGGGGGTGGAGTCGTGCGTGGTGGCTGGTAGGTGCGCGCCTCCACAGACGGCCTCGCGACGCGGGTCGACATGGGCTTTGTCCGCGGCGACGACGCGTTGTGCGTCGGGCGGACGACCTGACGACGCCACGGGATCAGCGCAGGAGTGTGCCGAGAGTATAGGAGACGACGTGTCGGTCTTTTACGACCCGATGGTCGCCAAGCTGATTGTGCGCGGCCCGGACCGCGCCGCCGCGTGCCGCCGCCTCCACGCGGCCCTCGGCCAGTGGCAGACCGTCGGGCTGCCGACCAACGTCTCTTTTTGCCGGCGCGCGCTCGGGACGTTCAGAAAGGGGGGGGGGGGGAGGGCTAGCGGCGGCGGGCGGTCGGGGGGGGGGGGGGGGCTAACCGCGGGGGGGGGGGGGCTAAGCGGGGGCGGAGGGTTCCCCCCCAAATTTTTTTTAGGGGCGGGCCCCAAATTCCCCAAAATTCCCCAAAACCCCCCAAAACCCCCCAAAATTCCCCCAAATTCCCCAAAACTGGGCGGGAGTTTTTCCCAGGGGGGGGGTCAAAACCCCCCATTTCCCCCCCGGGGAGGGGGACCCCCCCTTTTTTCCGAAAAACCAAAAGGCCCTTTTTCCGCCCAAGGGGGCGGCGCCGCCGCACTTTATGGCCCCCCCCCCCCCCCGCTGGGGGGGGAAAAAAAAACCCCCCCCCGGGAAACCCCGGA